GGCGGATAGTGGATCTTGGCGCCGGGCGTGGATTTTAGCTCGCGGATATGGATACCTGAACCTCGTATCCGCGTGGATTTTACCCGTTGCCAGAGAGAGGGGAGGTTGGGAGGAGAAGAACGTGGCGAGCTGCCGAGTTGGCGAACAAGTGGCGTTTATCCGGTTCTGCTAGTACTCCCTCCGTTTTGAAAAAAAATATAGATCTATGACAAATCAAACTTTTTTAATTTAATCAAATTTATAGAAAATAATAGCAATATTTATATTTATAAATAGTTTACTATGAATATATGAGTACATTTTTAATTAATCTTATTTGGTATCATAAGCATCGGTATTTCTTGAATAACGAGAAGTGAGAATCATATTCTTTTCAAGACGGAGGAGATATTTACATTTATAAATAGTTTACTATGAACATACGGGTATGCTTTAATTAATCTAATAATACTCCTCCCGTATAGAAAAAAAGGAAGGCGTTACGAGACTTCGCTTCGTTTGCGTAAAGGATGTCGCCGAGCGCTTGCATGCGTGATTTGGGACGGCTTTGCCCCTGCCGCTTCGCACGTCGTGTCGCCTGTTTATCGCTCATTTAATCACCGCGTACAAATAATAGCGCAGCCTCGCTTCGCATGCCGCGCCGCTCGCTCGCCTCCTTTCGTCCTCAACCGCTCGTCTATCCTGGCCTGGCCGCTTCCTCACCGACGCTGCCCTCGCTGCTTCCTCGCCTATGCTGCCGTTTTGCCGCTTCCTCACCGACACACAGGCCGCCGCTTCCTCGCTCCATGGATGCAACGGCGGACTCTGTGATGTCTGAAAAGCTCTAGTTTTATTTTGATGAATTGATAAAACCCTAAGTGCTAACCTAGTTTATTAAAGTGATTATGAGATAGGTGGCACATTCCAAGTGGTGAAGCAAATGAAGATTATGACATGATGACGATGATGCCATGGTATTGGTGCTTGGACTTAGAAAAGAAGAAAGAGAAAAACAAAAAGCTCAAGGTAAAGGTGAAATTTATAGGAGCTTTTTGGTTTAGTGATCGAGACACTTAGCGAGTGTGATCACATTTAGGATCGATAATAGTACTATTAAGAGGAGTGAAACTCGTGTCGAAATGCGGTTTATCAAAAGTGTCACTAGATGCTCTAACTTATTGTATATGCATTTAGGATCTAGTGGAAAGCTAATACCCTTAAAATGTTTGTGAAAATATGCTAACACACGTGCACAAGGTGATACACTTAGTTGTTGGCACATTTGATCAAGGGTGGTGATGTTTAGGGTCAAAAAGAGCTATTTCGTATTGACCAGACTCTGCCTTGGGTAGTGATCGGACTCGACCACATGTCCGTTAGTGGTGCTTGAAAAGAGCCGCCTCGGTCCCTTGATCGGACGCTGAAGTGAAAAAGGGACCGGACGCCTTTAGGGGCGCGTCCGGTCACCTAGTGACAAAAAGACGCAAGCAAACAGAGAGAGAGAGATGTTGACCGGGACGCTTGCACGGTCTCGTCATGTGCCACCGGATGTCTCTAGAACCTTACTGGAAACGACCGGACGCCAGTGATTGTGCGTCCGGTCACTTCGAGCAGCGCGTCCGGTCACAACTTAAGTGCACCGATGATCGTTGAGATCGAGCGATCAACATTTGAAGTCAGGGACACGTGGCGAATATCTAAAGACCGGACGCTGGGGTCCTACATCCGGTCAAACCGACCGTTGCATCTGGTCGCTCCGATTTTTTAGGGGGTAGAGGAGCCGACAACTCTATTCGTGGGGGCTCTCTATTTAAGTCCCATGGTCGGCTCAAACTCATACTCTTGACCATTTACATTAACATAGCAACCTTGTGAGCTTAGCCAAAGCCCTCATATTCATCTCCATCATTGATTCAACATCTTTGTGAGATTGTGAGAGAATCCAAGTGCATTGTTTGAGTGATTGCATCTAAAGGCACTTGGTGATCGTGTTTCGCTGCGGGATTCACTTATTATTCTTGGTGGTTGCCGCCACTTAGACGGTTTGAAGCAGCGAGGATCGTCGAGCAGAGGTTGGTGATTGTCTCCGGCTCCGATCGCGGTGATTGTGAGGGGTCTTGTGCCTTCCCCGGCGGAGCGTCGAAAGGTAACTCTAGTGAATTGCTTGTGTCATTGAGTTACCTTACTTGTGGGTAGGTTCTTGTGGTATCCAATTGTGTGGACGAGGCTCGTGCAACATCTCTTAGCTACCGAACCACCAAGTGTTGGTCGACACTGCTGAGGGACTAGCGTGCATCAGCAAGTGTTGGTCAACACAATGGGGACTAAGCGTCTTGGCAAGCACGTGAACCTCGGGAGAAAAAATTGATTGTCTCTTGCCCTTTGGTATTCTCCCGGTGATTGAATTGATATTCTTCTTGTAATTGGTTCACTACTCTACGCGGTGGTATAATCACCCTACTCACTTATTTATATTCTAGCAAATTAGTTGTAGCAAGCTCTTTGGTGTAGCTAAAATTGAGAGCTTGCCTTGTAGTTTAAGTTCATATAGTGGAGCTCTTTAGTATAGCAAGTATGAGAGCTCTTAGTGAGTAGTAACTTAGCAAAATTGTGTGTATAGTGATCATAGTAACTAAAATTATTGGATAGGTGGCTTGTAACCCTTGTAGAGCTAGAGCAAGTTTGTATTTCGCTATTTGTCATACTAATCAAATTACTCTAGTTAGTTTGTAGATTTTTAAATAGGCTATTTACCCCCCTCTAGCTATATTAGGACCTTTGAACATCGGAGGAGTTAGCGCGATGCAACGAAAACACACCCACGCGCGCGCAATAGACGAAGGCAAACGCAAAAAACGCTCGGCCAACGTGCGCCATGCAACCACACAGTGCCATGCAAACGCACACACGCAACAGACAGAGGCAAACGCTAAAATCGTGCACGGCAAAAATCGAAGCGCATGACAAGAAATTGCTCCCACGAAGAATCGAACCTGGAACCTCAAGCCTCATGAGTTGCTGCGCTAACCAATCAAGTTGTGTGAGGTTGTTGTCTACGAAAGACCCGCAACCGTATTTAATAGGGTAGACAGAAAAAACTCTACCCTAATTAATCACTCCTAAATACTGTCATAAACGACTTTTTTACTAGTATGGAGGGATTACTTATTTGGTATCATTGAATAACGGGAAGCGAGTATTCTTTTGAGGACGGGGGAGATGTTTTCTTTTGTTCGCTCGGACAGATTTATCATCATTACACTCTCTAAACATGATTGTATTTTTCAGTAAGATTAAGATAGCATTAGGATACCAATTGTCTTCTCTGATATCCTGGTTTCTTCTTGCCCAAAAATGTAATGATAGAGCTTTGCTTCGGTTGTGACTTGTGAGCACTGAGCAGCCACCACATGTACATTGCCATCGTGTCCCGCTATTCGCCATTTATTTACTGTGTCTAGGTGACTGGGTGCATGAGGCAAGCTGCGGAAAACGACGCGGCATCGCTCCGGCTTCGCACACGGACAAGCACGCGTCGAGCAGATGCAGCCCAACGGCTCACGAGGCTCCAAAAATCAACTGCAGAGCCACGCCACCCGAACAAACCCAACGCGCATGGATCGTCGCAGTCTTGATCATCAGTGCTCAGTGGTAATGATGAAAAATGCACACCACACGACATACTCGTGCCATTTAAAAAGCATGTTAGTGGATTAGCACTTGTTTTTAGAGGTTCTTGGGCTGTTCGCTGCAGCCTGATTCTGCAGCAGCTACAGCGTTTTTTTGAGAAGTCAAAAGCCTCTGCAGCTTCAAGACGTAGCCTTGTTGACTTCTTGATATTTTTTTGAGAAACTGTTGAGTTCTTTTTTTTAGGATGGTAGGCATATATTTTCATTTCAAAATGTTTAAATCAATGAACATAGTAGGGGAACCAAGCCAAACATGTCAGCCAGTTCCGAGTGAACATGCATACTTTGCAAGATAATGAGCCTCTCTATTAAACTCCCTACCTTCATGTGTGAAGCGCACACAATCCAAGGATTTAGATGTCTGATAAGTATCTCGAAGGATCATCATATAAGTGCAACGAGGCATCTCCTTTTATATTATTGATTACATTTAAACAATCAGAAGCTACGATCAGTCTATAGACTCCACAGTCCTCCGCAAGCGCTAGTGCCTCCAGACAAGCCATCGCTTCTAGTGTTTCAGGATTAGTTATATTAGGAACCACCATAACACTGGCTACAATAAAATGTCCTTGACTACTCCGACATACAGCAGCCACAATCCCTTTAGAACTAGCTCTATCAACAGCAGCATCAACATTTATCTTACACATATCCCTCTCAGGAGCTATCCATCGCTGAATTCTTGATTTTGACTGAGGTTTAATACATCCCTTGAACTCAAATCCCTTAACAAAATCAAATTCTTAAATTAAGCGGTTAACCATTGCCACGATGGAGAAAGGGCTCTGGAATATTTCTTCATGAATAGCCTTCCTCCTTGCATTCCAAATAGCCCACGAAGTAGCAAGAATCCATTTTCCTTCCACATGCGAAATATCGCAAGACATAAATAAAACCCAGTGCTTTGGATGAGTAATATGTAGAGTAGCCAACAAATCTGTTAGGTCCTCATCTACTAATGTCCAAACACATCTAGGCATTGTGCAATACAGTAAGGAATGGTCCCATGTATCTTTTTCTGCACCACAATTTTTGCATTCTGATGTTTTTCTAGATTCCCTCTTTTCAGCACACTAGCCGTGGGTATTGAGTTGAGTGCAAGATGCCAACAGAACACCTTGATTTTAGATGGTAGCTTCATGCTCCACAATCTATTCCATTCTTTCTTATTTCTCTCAATATCATAGCAATTGGCCTTGCTTTTAAAATAATCTTCTCTAGTTTTCTTGGTCTTAATCAACATTATGTAGGCGGAACGTACAGTAAAGAGCCCACTTTTTTCATGGAGCCACGCCCAACAGTCATCTTGTTTTCTCATATTAGTGGAACATGGAGAATTGTTTCACTGTCTATCTCATGGAAAAAGTGCCTCACCACATCAACTTTCCATGTCATAGAAGTATAGTCAATCAGCTCACTTACTCGTGTCAGGGGTTAGGTTTCTTTGAAGCCAGAGGTCTGTACATTCCAGATCTTGGTATCCAGTTACACACCCAAATTTGTGTGCTTTCACCATCACCTATGCGTTTAATTAGTCCCTGTCTTAATACATATATCCCATCACAAATAGCCCTCCATGTCTTAGATGGATTATTCCCAATCTGCGCACTAAGAATGTCATTAGAGGGGAAATAAATAGCCTTCAACAACTAGGAGCAAAGTGATTTTAGCCTAGCGAGGAGGGGCCTGCCTGCTTGGCAAGTAGAGCCAAATTAAAAAATTTCATATCTCTAAAGCCCATGCCTCCCATATATTTTAGTTGGATCATCTTTTCCCATGCCACCCAGCTTGTTTTCTTTTTGCCTTTGCCCCACCAAAATTTTTGTAACAGAGAATTTATATGAGCATACAAGCCTTTTGGAAGTCTGAAGCATCCCATAGTATAAGTAGGAATTGCTTGGTCTATAGCTTTAATTAAAATTTCCTTCCCTCCATGAGATAGAGTTTGTTCTATCCAACCTTGAACTTTATTCCAAACTCTATTTTTAATGTATTGGAAAGCCCCATTTGTTGCTCTACCAACCACCGTAGGTAGTCCTAAATATTTCTCATTTAAGAATTCATTCTCCACATGAGTTATTGATTTAATTTCGTTGTGAATGGTTTGCCTGCAACCTTTGCTGAAAAATATGAATGATTTTGCCAGATTTACCTGTTGACCCAAGGCTTCACAATATTTTGACAGGGACTCTTGCACTGATCTTGCATTGCACGCTATAGCTTTGAAGAACAAAAGACTGTCATCAGCAAATAAAAGATGGTTGATCTTTGGTGCCATTTATGCAAACCTGAATTCCTTGGATGCCACCTTCACCTTTGAGTATACTAGATAGTCCTTTAGTACAAATAAAAAATAAATATGGAGAAATTGGGTCTCCTTGTCTAATTCCTCGAGTTGGTTTGAAATCTTGTAATCGCTCTCCATTGAACAGGACTGAAAAAAGCAGATGTGACACATTTTATTACTTTATTCACCCACGTTCGATAGAAACCCAATTTTAACATAATTGCCTCCAGATAATTCCATTCACTCTATCATATGCCTTCGTCATATCCAACTTCATAACACAGTGAGCATTAGCTTTTGACCTATTAGTGCGCATAAAATGCAAACATTCATAAGTAGCTAGGACGTTGTCAGTGATGATTCTACCAGGGACAAAAGCTGATTGCTCCTCAGAAATGATATCCGGGAGAACCCTTTTCAACCGATTAGCCAAAGCTTTGGATATAATTTTGTATACAACATTGCAAAAACTTATAGGTCGAAATTAGTTTAAAGATACTGTATTTTAGACTTTAGGGATTAAAACGATGAACGCACCATTGATTTCAGTTGGTATTTCATTTCCATTAAGAACCCCCAGCACCACCCTTGTCAACTCCTCATGACAAACGTCCCAGTTAAGCTGGAAAAAATGTGCAGGAAAACTATCAGACCCTGGAGATTTTGTTGGGGACATTTGAAAAAGGGCATTCTTTATTTCCTTCTCATCAAAAGGGGCACAAAAAATGATTCATCTCATCAGTTACCTTGCAACGAACATGATCTAGAACATGCAAGTTGGATGTACCCTCTGACTCAAATAATTTACGGTAGAAATCTGTTGCCATCTATGTAATTCATTAATATTTGTGCATTGATCGAGGGGATCGGATCACGATGCCCTAATGAACAGAGCCTGGCCCATGCTGCCATCAATGAGTCCCATTTCTAAAGGGCCCAACGGGCTCCAACCTCTCCGTTTGCCAAAGGAAACACAGGCCCAGCTGTTCTCAAAGGAAAAAAAGAGGTCCAGCTGAAGGAAGACGAGAAGCCCAGGCCCACCTGTACGCGAACCCCGACGCCGATTGCGCCGGGCCGCTGCGATCGCGCACTACCGGCGACAGCGAATCGAGGAGCTCGCTCGCCATGTCGTCGGCCTTAGCCGCGGGCGGTGGCGCCGCCGCCGACGCCGACGGTGATGCCCCGGAGGCAGCGGCGACAGCGCCGACAAGGAGGGAGAAGCGGAGGGAGCGGAAGAAGGAGCGCCGCCGGAGGCGCGCGAGGAGGCCGCGGCGCGCGCGCGCGCGCGGCCGGCGGCGGAGGCGCCCGCGGCCGACCCCGAGGAGGAGCGCCGCCTCCTCGAGATCCAACAGGCCGAGGCGGCTGCGGAGTCCGAGCGTGCGCGCCACGCCTTCGAGGACGCCGAGCGCCGGTGGCTCGAGGCCGCCGCCGCCCGCGCCGCGGAGAAGGCCGCGGCTGCTGCGGCCGAAGAGGAGGCCAGGGCTGCGGAGGCTTCCGCTCGAAAGGAGGTTATCTCTCCCCGCCTTTTCCATAATTCCTTAGCTCCTTCTACTGAACAATCGTATTTAGCCATTTCACAATCGATGCATCCCTTTTCTGCTGCTGGGATGAGCATGCTGGGCTAGTCATTCTTAGTAAATATAGGATGTCAGTTTCTGTAGTCATCGTCAGAGGCAAGTACCAATCACCTTTGTAGTTTGTGTAAGCCGCAGACTCTTATTCTGCATTTGTATGTATATATGTTTTTGGTAGCTTAATCCATCTGTTGAATCCTTTTTCCGTCAGCACGTCTTTGAATTCACTAGTGCATGTTTTGAAAAAATAAGTTGTATAAACATTCTAACATAGTGATCTGATTACAAATTTAACTCCCCTCTTGCAGCGTAAAGATGACCAAGGAAACCAGTCAGAAGAAGATAGTGAATGGGAATATGTTGAAGATGGTCCAGCAGAAATTATATGGAAAGGAAGTGAGATCATTGTAAAGAAGAAAAAGGTTAAAGTACCAAAGGGGTCCAAGGAAAAGCTGCCAGTTCATGAGGTCACAATTCTATTCGTTATAAATTTCTATTGGTTGTGTTCCTTATGGCTGCTTACGGGTCAATTTTTTTGACATACTGCCCATAAAGGTTACTCTAAATGTCTTGCAGGAAGATAGACCTACATCAAATCCGCTCCCACCACAGTCTGTTGCTTTTGTTGCTCAGAGGAGAGAACCTTCTTTGTCTGCTCAAGAAGTACTTGACAAAGTTGCTCAAGAGACACCGAATTTTGGAACAGAGCAGGCATGCTCCATTCTTCTCTTTCTATTAGGACAGAAATATCCTGTATATTTATTCTGTTACAATAGAAAGAAAATACAACTTGTTCTCTACTTGACATTCTGGTTTTTCCTCTTTTATTTCTATAGGATAAGGCCCATTGTCCATTTCACCTCAAGACAGGGGCTTGTCGCTTTGGAGTGCGCTGCAGCAGGGTTCATTTTTACCCTGATAAATCAAGCACATTGCTAATGAAAAGCATGTATAACGGTCCAGGCCTTGCTTTGGAGCAAGATGAAGGTCTTGAGGTTTGTTAGAGGAAATTCTCTAATGAATAACTTTGTATCCTTAAACTATTATTTTTTTACGTTTAAGGATGCTCAATTTTGGTTGCATGGGCAGTGCCATTTTAAGTTGTGATAGTTCAATACTTAAATCAAGCTCATGTCAAAATAACAAGTATTCCACTTTAAGCTTGTAAGCCTTTATAAGCAGCCATGAGTATAAATGACTGACTGCCTGGAACCATTTGAAAATTTTATCTACTGCTCAAGATAACTCTTGTTCCAAGACCCAAGTTTTCCATGGCTACTCTCAGACTTCGACAGATTGCATGTTCTTTCATGTTATCTTCAGAACTTCGACTTGAGGCATACAGTGATCAGGCCAGTTGATTTCACTTGATTGAGGACGTCTTGAACTTTGATCTGCTCATGTATCCTAAATTATCATGGTTTTGCTGATGTTGCTGAGCTTTTTGATGTTTTTTCTATAGCTATTAGAAATGTGTCCAATATTTGAAAACTGGTACATGTCTTGGGTATCATTTATTAAGTAGATCCTTGACAATTTTGATAATATCCGGGAATTTTTAATGTTGAACCATTGAGGAGTATTTCTTTTATTGGACGTCTTTGATGACCATTAGGCTGACAGGTGAATCTATTTTAATCCTTCTGTGCAAACAAGAGTTCTGTTTGTGAACTAGAGCTAAATAGACTACTTTTGGTTCTCTCTTTCCCCTTTTTTATTTCCTATTCCTACTCTTAGTGATAATGGGAATTGCAATAAGATGTTTGTTTTCTTCAATAGTTTGAACACAGACTAATAAGTTATTCTTTAACATTTTCCAGTTCACAGATGAAGAGATTGAACAAAGCTATGAAGAATTTTATGAAGATGTACATACAGAATTTCTGAAATTTGGTGAACTTGCGAACTTCAAGGTTCTTTGTGCCTCCTTTTGTCCTGAGACAACATGATTCCCTAAGCCAATGCTTCACGTACTGTTGTATTCATTATATTCAGTTTGTTTACTTTGCATGATTGTTGCTCTAATTCTTAAAGGATTATGATATCTTCTTAGGGTCGTGGTTGCCTTAGTGAGTGAGAGTTGGAGAATTAGTTTACAATTAATTGATCATGGTTAATCGGTATTTCTTAAGCTCTACATGAGGAGACTGGTTTCACTTTAGTAGTTCACTGCCATTGCATACTAGAATATGTCCAAACTTCTGAAGACTTAGGGGATTTGTTCCCTAGCTAGTTTGCCTTACCTTGCTAGCACGGACCTCAAGATAGGCTTACCAACTATCCAAATGCATGTCCCTGTTTTGCATTCTTTCCCAGCAAGGCTAAACAGTCCCTGATAAAGAATCCAAACGCAACCTTAGTCTTAGCTAAGCAGTTTAACCTCACCTCACTGTTCACATATATGATTGACTGTTAGACCTCTTTCTATTTTTATCTTTCTACTTAGAAGAATGCACACCACGATCCTATTCCCACTTGTTACTATGGGCTAAGTTAAATTTTGACGCAAATTTGAAATAAAAGGGCTGTAGAGTAGTAGCCACTCACAGTTTAGCGCTGTGAATCAGATAGGCACCTCTAAATGATGGTTCCCCGTGGGAACTGAAACAGTGTTTTGCAATTTTCATAAATTTAGGCTTATGTACATTTTTTCATCCGATAGAATTATCGAAATGATTCCAGTTAATATGTTAGGTATGTAGAAATGGATCTTTCCATCTTCGAGGAAATGTTTATGTGCACTATAAATCGTTGGATTCAGCTCTTCTTGCCTACAGCAGCATGAATGGACGCTATTTTGCTGGAAAGCAGGTAATTACTTTGTTTCATTCCTCAAGTATTATGTGAGGATAATTTTTATAGCTTAAGGGAGAAAGTACAAATTACTACCTCCAAATTTGTCTGGCTGGATAAAACCCCTAAACTATTTTTTGATTTATTTTGCTCCCCAAACTATTTCAGTTGGTTCAATCTACCCCTTTATAAAATTTGTGTACTAAGTTGAGTTTTAAGTTAAAATTTTGTGCGGTGATAATGGGGAACAGGCACAAGTTATGTTAAAAAAGTTACGTCCGGTATCACCCCATACTCCTTTCCAAATTATAAGACGTTTTAGCTTTTCTATATACGTAGCTTTTGCTATGCATTTAGATATACACTATATCTAAATACATAGTAAAAGAAATGTATCTAGAAAAACCAAAACGCCCTATAATTTGGAACAGAGGGAATAACTTATAAGTCAGCTTGTACATGGAGAAACAAAAAAAAATGCAGATCTTTTTAAGTGGTAGATTGGACCAATTGTATTTTTTTTGGTTGCGTGTGGGAGAGGGTGTAATTTGGACACATGGCTTACTTTGGGAGAGTAATTTGGACTTTTCCCTAGGTTAATAGCATTGTTCACTAATCCTTGCTTAAGTCACAGAATCCTGCACCCTTAGATACTGTTGTCTGTTGTGTTAAATTAATACACATGCTACTGTTTGCATAACCTGAACCTGGATTTTTCCTGTGCGTTTAGATAACATGTGAATTTGTTGCTGTGACAAGATGGAAGGCTGCCATATGCGGTGACTACATGAGGTCAAGATACAAGGTACTTGGGTTGTAGCTTTGTCTCCTTAATCAATTTAGTCTGATTTCATGACAGATATGAAGTTTGTTTGAAGTGTTGATATTTGTTAGAGGAGAATATATGAAGTTTGTTTGAAGTGTTGATATTTGTTAGAGGAGAATACTCTCTAAAATTTGAGAAATAGGCTCAGAACTGCTAATATAGTCTGCATTTTTTGTCGTCCTCTTTCAGACATGTTCACATGGAGCTGCGTGTAATTTTATTCACTGCTTTCATAATCCTGGAGGAGATTATGAGTGGGCTGATTGGGACAATCCTCCTCCTAGATACTGGATTAGGAAGATGACTGCTCTTTTTGGTCCCTCAGTTGATACTATGTATGAAAAGGAGAGTGATACCCCCAATTTTAAAAGTTCAGAGGGCTCTTATAGGAAGAAACTGAAAATTTCCAGCAATAGGTACATACTAAATTACGAGTTAATCATTTTACCTGTCAGCTTCCATTATACCTATGGACTTTTTGGTTCAACAGATATGTTTCAAGAGGATCTAGGGACGAAGATGTGCATACACGACACTCTCAAGATTATTCACACTCTAAGCAAGAACGTAGTAGCCACAGCATGGATTATGAGTACAAACGACATAGAAGAGATTCTTCAGCAGTAGATAAGCGCCGAAGGCAAGATGTTGAAGATACAAATGGCAGACAATTTTCACCCATGGGAAATGGCAGTGAGTCCCATAGGCACAAGCATGAAGAAAGGCATAGACGTGATCATGGTAATGGAGAAAAAGAAGACGACAAAACTAGGCCTAGTAAGCACTGTTCTGGTAGGCATGGAAGTTTGGAGCCTGGATATTCTGATTGGCCTTCAGACTTCACTGACACAGACATCAGGAAGGGTCCTTCAGGTGAGAAGTCCACTAGCAGGTACGAGTATGATGACGCCAAAAGGAGCAGGAGGGGATCGTCGGAGTACTACAATCTTGAAAGACACCACTCTACAGCTCAAAAACCAACAGGAACGGAGCACAACACTAAAAGACGCTCGAGACGTGACATTGAAGATTATTATCATGATGAGAACGGTGGCGGAAAAGGGAAACCTCGAAAGCATGATCACCATGACTCGAATGATCGGTGGGTAGCCACAAATAGCGATGTTGATTCGGATGTAGATAGATATCAGAGTTCAAGCTTTAAAGGCACTAGGTTGGGAAGGAAGGATGATGCTCATCCAGACAGTGAAGCTCGGCATCAGAGGTCAAGTAGAAGTACAAAGGATGACAGGAGAAGGAAGCGGCACAGTGGAAACAGGCGGCACAGCGGTACTGAAGAGGGTACCTCAGAATCAGGCAGTGGAGAATTGAGCTCTGATTCATGGAGCTGGAGATCGAGAAGCAGTGAGGAGAACTTTTCAGCACACAGGTCAGAGAGGAAGCGAAGTGTGGGCAAGAAGTCTAGTTAGTGGTAAACAGTGCATGTGTGCGTGCATTTATAGAGGACAGATACCCCTGTTTTGCTTTGTTTGCCCTCTCCCATTCACTTTGTTATGGTCGGTTCGGTTTAGCTGT